TTGCTTTTTACAAGCGGTTCGTCTCAAATGCATTCGAAGAAACTCAGCCCCGGAACATATATGTATGTATGTATATGTACACCTTTGCAGGCACACCCATACATTTTCACGGATACAACCGTCACTCGCTGTGGACTTGAAACACCCAAATGAAGCACCACAAATTGTGTGTGTACTTCAAAAACACAGCAAGATATCAAAAGCGAATAAGGAGCATGAAGGAATGAAGAAAACTTCACAAAATAAACCAGCAATCAAACAAAACTATTCGAAACTACTTTGAAAAAAATTAAGCAAACATTTGTGTAAGCCAATGCTTTTGAGCAGTTTTTCTTAGTACCTCTTTGTAGAGCTCCACCAAACAACAAAAAAACACTCCACCAGCAGTAGTCAGTACACAAAAAAAACACACACACACCTCACATCTTTATGCCCATCACAATTGTTAAAACAAAAATGCTTTACGGTTCTCCGTTGCGTTCCAAACACGCTTTGTATCTTTTCCGCGCTTGCATCCGTTAACGACGAGTTGAAAATAAAGACTGTTCATTCTACCCTAAAAAGTGCACTATTTGCTCTGTGTTCGACGCTGTTGCTCTGCTTCTGCTACTGGTCGCAGTCCTCGTTTCAGTTTTTTAGTACTCGTTGCGTTGCTTTTCCTTGCTCCTCGCCCATTGCCCCCCCAACTCATGAATGAAACCCACAGCGACTACGCTTTTACCTAAACAACAGATACTCGTTCTTCGTCGCTCATACAAGCACATGCTCCAAGCAGAGATACACCAGCCAGAGAACCGGCATAAAAGTTTGTTTGCGTGTAGTACACTCACGCCTTGCCTATGGTCTTTGCTGCTATCGCTTCTGCAGCGTGAAGCGTTTTTCTTTTGAGACCATGGGGGCTGTTTAGCGCGCTCCATGCTCCATCCTCACATCAGCATTGGGCATGTGTGAGAATAGTAGAATATCGCGGCGCTCTTACGCTCTTCTCCAAAGCGTTGGCCAGTTTTGATCATATGCGTGTGTCGAGTATTGGTATGGTTTGTTGGGGCTTTTGACATTTCTACCAATGTTTTTTGTTTTCATTTTCAACATCATTGTGCGTATGGATACGTTTGTGTCAATGTTTCGCTTTAAACACGGAATCCAGCAAAAAGTTGTTTTGTTTTGGCAAGCGCTTAATTTTTGTATCGATGGAGTAACCCATTATAATACACTTAAAGAAAAAGCGGCTGCGCTTACCTCCAATGACATGCCCAGGTTAAAGTAATGCGTTCCGTAAACTAGAAGGTATGTGGTGAATTTCGAAAAGTGGTTCCCAATCGAGATTCACCACTCACCTTCTAGTTTACAGAACGTATTACTTTAACGTGGGCATGTCATTAGAGGTAAGCGAGAAAGTGTAAAAATGCTTTCTCACTGCATTACCTGTAAATTGCATTACCTGTAATGCATTGGGTAAACGAGAAAGTTAAAAATTGTGTCTTGAGGCGTATTGAATGCGCTACTCCGTCGATACAAAAAGTAAGCGATTACCAAAGAATCAAAGTTTTTGCTGGGAACATACATACATACATATGTATGGATGTGGGTGTGTACATATATGTGTGCGCATGACTGTTAGTACATTCGCACGGTCGAAGTGATTTCTACTCAAGGTGTGAAATTTCGTTAGACTATGTTTAGACTTAGAGCTTTTAGCCAAAAAATAAAACTTTTTAAAGTAAAAAAGGATGTTTGGCCCCAAATTACGACCGATTGTTCGGCTTTGGTTTGCCGATTAAGCGGCAATATTTAACTTCGGCAAAAAAACTGCCGAAGTTTTCTGCAATGAAAAAGCTTCTGTTATAATCCGGTAGTAGTAAAACAGTAGGTCCCTCCATTTGTGTTACAACATCAAGATGCAGGAGAAGTTCGGCCAAAAACTTAGTGTAAGCACCAAAATATTTTTATTATTAATGCTAGATTACTCGCATTTGAAATTTAGCGAAAACTTTTAGCAAGAAAAGATAATTTTTTGTAAAATTTTTGAAATAGGGTATGGAATAGTACAAAGTCAGGGAAAGGAATAATTATATGGCATTTTTGGTACATACGCGGTTTTGCATCTTTGGTTAAAAAAATCGTATTTTTAACTAAAATTACCTTTCTATTTTTAACTTAATATGCAGTTGCAATAAAATTAAAAATAATGAAAATTGTGATACGTGTTCAAATTTATTCGTCAATGGAATTAAAATTTGCATGGAGTAGTATATATTATGTATGTTTATATTATTAATGTTTTTCTTGTAGTTTTAATATATATTCTTGTTGATTTTGTTTTTTATTTTATTGTTAAAAAATGTTTTATTTTTTATTTTTATGCGGATTCTCTTTTACCAAAAAAAGATTTGTTACTTTAAACAAAAAGTAATCCTAAAGTGGTTTCAAAAACATTACTTTGAACAAAAAATATATTTTCTTGTTTTTTTTGTTTATTTTTTTTTGTTTTTTTATATCCACTTCTTTTTTTTATAAAAAAATAACTTGTCTTCTGTGACATTATTTGAAACTATAACATATATTGTTGTACAAAAAATTTAAAAAACAAAAATCTATTTCTTGCAATAGATACCCGTAAATGAAGATTACATTGTTGGGATACAAAATATGTCCACGGTGCATGAGTTTGTGGAATTTGTACGATATATCGTACACTTTTTTTTGACGAGATGCTTATTTTTTTTAACTTAAACCTTTTATAAAAAAGTTAATAGAGGCTAAGAATAGATCTTTGGGGTATTCACAACAGTGTCGTAAGTGTCATATTGTTGTACCTCGTAAACTTTAAACGCTTATAAAGTATATTACGGGGGTTCAGAAATTACCATCAAAGTCATATTATGAATTTTCGCAGTGTTTAAAAATAGTTGGTTGTGGTTTCAGGTTTTCTAAACATTTATTTAAGCTTTTAAAGTTAACGTCATACAACAATACGACACTTACGACACCGTTGTGAATACCTCAATTGAATTTTCTGATTTTGATCATTATTGGATGTTAATATTACGTAGTAAGATGGTAAATAACAAGTTTGCAACCTACTCCACTAAAGATTATTTTTTTAATAAAGGGTCTGATGAGAATGCAATATTGATTTTCTTTTGTTTTTTGTTTGTAAAGCCTTTATATTGAATGAACAAAAGATCTCTCGAAAATCAGATGCACTTTTCGACATGTGACTACGTTCCAAAAAAAAATAAAAAATCGTCAAAGGCAAACGATAGTATGCAAGGAAGTTTTCAGAGATCTGTCCTTCAGGTAGGCTTGGTCGAGTTAAAAGTCTTGTTCGTCCTCAAAGCATTAAAAATGTACCGATAATTATGTTGAGTTTCCTTTGGGTCCAATATGGACATCATCGGTCTGCTTTTCTTATCAGTATTTACTTAGATGTTTAATGTTATGCAAGCATTCACACTATCTCGATTTCGGACCCATTCTTGATTTCACATTTAAATTATTTAGTTTTTCTTCGAAAAATTTTTACTGAAATTAGGTATGCCAAATTGAGAAAAAATCGGTAACATCTCTAGTTTATGGCTAAAGTGTTGAGTGACTTACTTACATACATCATAGTGCTTATGCCAGCCGTACGAAATTGTTAAGAAATATTAATAAAAACTTATGAAAGTGAAAAAATATTTAATTTTTCAATCTCGGGGGAGCATATAAAAAGGTGACTAGCCTTGCCTATAGTTAAAATAAAATAATTTATATAAGAGCGTTGTTTTTTTTATATTTCAGTGCAACTTTTTGAGTCGTACTGTACGATTTGCGCCAGCTATAATAAAAGTTTGATAAATAAAATCCCACCGAGCAAAAATATCCCCTCACTTATTGACAAGTTAACGAAATATAAACAATAACAAAACAGCACCTGTCAGTAAGACATAATGAGTAGAGAGCACGTCGCTCAACAAGAACTAAGATACATCACATAGAAAAAAACATGCATATGTATATTTGTATATGCTCTGAGATTCCGACAAAGTTGGGAAAAGCAAAGAAACTACCAATGAGAGTTTTCACAAACCCTGCAATGCAACGCAACAAAAACTTTGCCCCAAAACAATAACTAGCCAGCAAGTGAATGAGCATATTTCCAGAGTGCTAACCTTTTTCACGCATATTTTACTCAGCTTGACGCCCAGCGGATAGCACGACTACATGGCCGGCTCTGGGCCTAGTCAAATCCGCAACGAGTTAAATAACAGTAAATTGTGGTGGGAGCTTTTAAGTGCTGTCGCCACCCAAAAATAAAGGCCACAGCCGCAGCCAAAGCGACGACACAGCTACGAATACTTTTAAAAACGGTCAACAACTTTAAGGTAACACTCATCGTTGGTAGTGTGTGGTGAAAATCCGTCGCGAGCGGCAGACAATGTCAAGACAAGACGAGCGAACTAGCCAAGCAAGTCAATCAGCCAACCAGCAACCAGAGCAGTGAAAATGAAATTGCAAAATTCGGTGAAAAATCAAAATGAAGCAAAAAATAAATAGAGCATGTGTTTGGAAAACGGAGAAAAATATTGAAAAAATGTATTGGAGAATTTAAATATTCGCTTAAAACACAAGAATAGATAGCATATTCCCAGAGAATTGTTCGTAAGTCTGCTGCGCGGTGCTGAGCTATACAAAAATAATATATATTGCTGATTTTTTCGCAGCTACTACTACCAAAGTTGTATACATACATACATATATTATTACGACAGTATTTTTCACAATTATTTAGTACATATTTAAAAATATATTGCTATTAGATTTTTAGTATACAATTTATTACTGTAAAAGAAGTGAAAAGTGTAAACGTTAAACGCGTTGTGAAAAAAATAAAAGCAATAGCCTTAAAGCACTGAAATAAATCAATAACGCTATGTCAACGGAAAGCAATACCCCGGTGGACCCCAGAGTGCAGGCAAGTAAAAAAAAAANTTGCAAAATTCGGTGAAAAATCAAAATGAAGCAAAAAATAAATAGAGCATGTGTTTGGAAAACGGAGAAAAATATTGAAAAAATGTATTGGAGAATTTAAATATTCGCTTAAAACACAAGAATAGATAGCATATTCCCAGAGAATTGTCGTAAGTCTGCTGTGCGGTGCTGAGCTATACAAAAATAATATATACTGCTGATTTTTTCGCAGCTACTACTACCAAAGTTGTATACCTACATAAATATATTATTACGACAGTATTTTTCAAAATTATTTAGTACGTATTTAAAATTATATTGCTATTAGATTTTTAGTATACAATTTATTACTCTAAAAGAAGTGAAAAGTGTAAACGTTAAACGCGCTGTGAAAAAAATAAAAGCAATAGCCTTAAAGCACTGAAATAAATCAATAACGCTATGTCAACGGAAAGCAATACCCCGGTGGACCCCAGAGTGCAGGCAAGTAAAAAAAAAAAAAACCAAGAAAAAACAAATTTAGATGAGCATAAAAATAAAAATTAATTGCTAAGACTTGTAATTTCTACGATTCCCTTGGTGTGCAAGATTTGACGGTCATAAACGGATTTTGTCTTATCTGACAATGACCCATGAGAGGGAAAANAAATTAATTGCTAAGAATTGTAATTTCTACGATTCCCTTGGTGTGCATTTGCACAAGATTTGACGGTCATAAACGGATTTTGTCTTATCTGACAATGACCCATGAGAGGGAAAATAAATAAGAAAAACTTGCATGCAGAGGAATGTGAATTAATGAATTTGCACCTACATACATACATATCGAGCATAATGTACATACATACGCATATGTATACTACATGTCGTCGTTTAAAATACAAAACCGNGAATGAATTTGCACCTACAATACATATCGAGCATAATGTTCATACATACGCATATGTATACTACATGTCGTCGTTTAAAATACAAAACCGCGTAACTGACATTTGCTGCCAAAAATTTGATTTGCTCATACAAGCTCTTGGCCCAATCCTATCCATTCGTCCTGAAATATACTAGCCATAAATGCGATTTTTTTTTATAAAAACGAGAACCATTTTGAAATTTGAGTATATTCACTCTCTAGAAAATAATTTATGCAACCTCACATAGGCGGTTTTGCATTATCTTGATACGCGGTTTTGCATTTTGTTGATACGCGGTTTTGTACTTTAAGCGACGATATGCATCTATGTATGTATGCACATACATACATACATATGTATTTAGAAATAAAACGTACATGCATTTATACATACATACCTACACAAATACTTATGTATGCCAACATATCATTTGTTTTATTTATTTTTCCTGTTAGTACAAATGTACCAACTTTTGGGCGTAAGTACATATGTATGTATGTACATACATAAGTACATACGTATGATGATGTAGTATGATGTAGTCCAATGTAGTGCATATTTCAAAATTTATATAGCCCATTTACTTAACTTTACCCGTGCGTAGCTCTTGGCAGTTTGCCGTATTTAACTGGCCATAAACGCAAGTTTCTTTCTTTATACAAACATACGAGTATGTATGTATGTAGTTATGTATGTATGTACATACTTATTTTCGTATTTTAGATTTTTAGTGTTATGTGTTAGTAACACTTTCAACGCTTGTTTTGCGTTTNTTTACAAACATACGAGTATGTATGTATGTATGTATGTATGTATGTATGTATGTATGTACATACTTATTTTCGTATTTTAGATTTTTAGTGTTATGTGTTAGTAACACTTTCAACGCTTGTTTTGCGTTTCTGATGTCATTTGCCGGTAGAAATTAAGAGACAAATATATTTGGCATAAAAACATCCTAACCCGAAAAATAAAAAATGCGAAAACGGAAAGTTTTAAACATTTTAGTTGTTCGCATTGAACAAAATAAATGATGATTTCAAAATAGAAAGTGCAATCCTAAAATGTTACCCAAAANAGAAGGTTTTAAACATTTTAGTTGTTCGCATTGAACAAAAGTAAATGATGATTTCAAAATAGAAAGTGCAATCCTAAAATGTTACCCAAAAATACAAAGATGTCAACAAGTCGTACACTGGCTCCTTACTTTGATAAAAAAGTGATTATTTTCTTGTTATACGCCAATCTATGTACCTTTGCTGCAAGAGTGTCATAATTCCAAAAATCCAAAACTCGAGAAAAATGGCTTTTAAGTTTAGTGTTTACATATGCCCACGTGGTAAACATGAAAACACAAAGTTGAGGTGTGTTGAGTTGAGGTCAAATCTTTTTGACGTGAGTTAAAGAGGGATGATGTGAGTTGGGGTGAGTTAAGGTGAGTTTAGCTGAAGTTAGGTAATATAAGGAGAGATGGGTTTCTCTGAGTTGAGGTGAGCTTAGGAGAGGTAAGTTGAGCTCAGGTGAGATAAGGTGAGGTGAGTAAATAGATGAGTTGAGAAGAGGTGAAATAAAGTGAGGTGGTTCAAGCGCGTCGAGGTGCATTTAAATTAGTTAAGGTGAGGTGAGATGAGTTAAGAGGTGAGGCGAGTTGAGGTGAGATAAGGTGATGTGAGGTGGGTTTGACCCTTTATTTTCATCTCTACTTACTATCGTATTACTCATCACGTAAAAACAAGTTTTTTGGATTATGACATACGTCAGCGTACTCGTTATCCCATTCAGCATATACGACTGACGTATCACGTAATTTTCTTTCGTATGGTTCTGGGCCCGTGACGGGATATTACGATTCGAGCCCCGGTGTTAAATACTTACCACAAAGATCTCCGAACTCGAATAAGAACACTTGAAATATTTTTTTATTATGACACCATTGCAGCGAAGGCACGATATGTAGTTGCTAAGCAAAAGCAAATATGAGTAAATTTGCAAGGAAAATAACTATCAGTCTTACCAGATAAATATAGGACAGGCTGACGTCCAAAACAAACATTTTCGGATTATGACAATTCATACAACTAAGCAATTACATATCCACTATTTGAAAGGCTGTTGCAGCACTTTATTCTGCGTTGACAGGATAAAAGGCAAGCCAACGCCCACTCACTTCCCTCGCCCACTGTTACGTAGTCGACACCTTAAAATTGCGTCCACAAAGCATAATATATTATATTTATTTATACCCACGAACTTTTCACTACGTAACATTATTTGTATATTTACTGATATGTATGTCCTGCGTTTATATGTATATATTGACATACATACATGCATGCATGCCAAAGGAAACGGAAACTCCAATACATTAATATTTCTTTTGCATATCTTTCAGGTTGAACTAGAGAAACTGAACACAGCAACAGACAATATCAACAAATATGAAGTGGAACTCGATGTGAGTATCGATTTTTTTCATTACATAATAGTATACGCAAATTTGCCATAAAAATAATAGCACTGGTTTACAGCAAAAATTTTCAATGGATGCCACTATCCAATTCCTATAAAGAATTGTTCGCTGATTTCGAAAATCGACTTAATTTTTTATTCTATGGATAAGTTTTCAAGATATTTTCACTTTACCGTTATTCAGTTATCTCGAAAACGTATCCATAAAAAAAAAATTAAATCAACTCTTTTTTTTACATATCAAATTTTAATATAACTGCAGAGACGCGGGTTTGATGATTTCTTGCGGGATTGGATGCCCTAGTAGTAATGTTTGAAATATTTAAAGCTCTACCCAGAACTGCAGCGGTCCAAGGTATAGCGGTTGACGGTTAACCGCTGTCAAAATTAAAGCTCCCAAAGACCTATGGAATGGCATATATTTAATTGTGACGGTAGCGTTTTTACCGTCGGCGCTTTTCGGTTCATTTAAGTTTATTTCTAGTTTTACCGTCCAGCAGGGGCGACATATTTTTTATTGAGTATTTTTGGCAGCCGCTGTGGTGTATGTAGTGGTAAGCAGTGCGCGCTTCCACTCCGCATGGCCTGGGTTCAAGCCGTGATCAAAGCAACATCGCAAAAAAAATTTTTCTTAACAGCGGTCGTCCCTCGGCAGGCAATGGCAAACCTCCGAGCGTATTTCTGCCATGAAAAACAGCTTCTCATAAAAATACAATCGCCGTTCAGAGTCGGCGTAAAACTGTAGGTCCCTCCTCTTGTGTGACAACATCAAGCCGCACGCCACAAATCGGAGGAGAAGCTCGGCCAAACACTTACATATATTCTTATGTGTAAGCGCCAATCTATTATTATTATTATTTTCCGCTGGAAACGCCTATACATATGTCTATACTTTGTGATGCCAATTAAAACACTTACCACGACATGAACAAACACTTATTAAAGTGCAAAGTAGTGCTGGAAAACTATCGATAGTATCGATGGTTTTTAACTATCGAAAACATCGATAGTTTTGTAAGCACTATCGATAGTTTTCACTCATACATAAATATTCAGTAAGAGTAAAAGNGTGATCAAAGCAACATCGCAAAAAAAATTTTTCTTAACAGCGGTCGTCCCTCGGCAGGCAATGGCAAACCTCCGAGCGTATTTCTGCCATGAAAAACAGCTTCTCATAAAAATACAATCGCCGTTCAGAGTCGGCGTAAAACTGTAGGTCCCTCCTCTTGTGTGACAACATCAAGCCGCACGCCACAAATCGGAGGAGAAGCTCGGCCAAACACTTACATATATTCTTATGTGTAAGCGCCAATCTATTATTATTATTATTTTCCGCTGGAAACGCCTATACATATGTCTATACTTTGTGATGCCAATTAAAACACTTACCACGACATGAACAAACACTTATTAAAGTGCAAAGTAGTGCTGGAAAACTATCGATAGTATCGATGGTTTTTAACTATCGAAAACATCGATAGTTTTGTAAGCACTATCGATAGTTTTCACTCATACATAAATATTCAGTAAGAGTAAAAGACGGCGGTACCTGTTTCATCTTGTGAGTCGGAAAGGTTATTTAGCAAAGCAGGGCAAATAATTTCAGAGCACAGATGCTGCTTGAAGCCAAAAATCGTTGATAAACTTTTATTCCTTAACAAAAATATGCAATTCTGATCTCATTTTCAATAAAAGTTGTTATGTAAAATTTTTGGACTTTTTGAACAAAACTATTTTTTTCCTTTTCTCTATCACGTATCTACAAGCTGTGTACATGGTAGACAATAGTTACCTCTCGCCTAGAGTTAGTTTTCTATCTCGAATTGTTGTCAACGTTTGTTGTATGTGTATACATATGTATTTATATCAAAAATGTAGAAAATATAGTTGGCGCCATCAGCGTAGCACTAACTCTTCGTCGATTTGACAGCTTTCACCTATTTGTTCACGTCATGAAATACATTTTCGCATTATGGACAAGAATTAAATTTTTAAATTGTACTTATTTGGCGAAAAAAGTTTTACATAAAAGTAGACAAATGTACCTAACAATTAAACATCGCAACCTCTCTCTTCGGTACTATGTGTACTTTTGGACTCACATCAAACAATCTTTAATATTTCCTTGAAAGGAGTTTCTCCGAACAGTTCCAGCCAAACTACTATATATGTATGTATGTATATGTAGGTATTCACCAAGTTGAGCCAGTGGCCTGGCACTATGGCAAAAGAGCAGATTACCTCAAGCAACGACTGTTGCCAGAGTGCCAGGCCATTTGTTTTAATCAATGGTTATGGCTCTTGCCAAAGGAGAGAGGCCATTGGAAAAGTCGTTGGAATGCCTATGAAAATAAGAGAAAATTTTCCGATAAGTCATTTTGCTACGTTTTAAACCTGCCTCAAATGGTATGATTGTACCGAATAATTAAATCGTTTATCGTCTTAGCCATTTCAAAATTTAGCAAACTGTGATGAAATTCATAGAACTCTATTGAGTGTTTACACGTCTCTAGCGAAATTTTAGTTTAACAGCCTTAAAGCGCAGTTACCCACGGACGTAAAAACGGAGAACGTGTCAGCTGACACGATCTATCTTATGGGATCTGCGTGTTAACAAAAACTCACCACCGCATGACCGTGACGTAGACGTTGCTTCTCTCTCTTTCTATCAACAGCATACTTGATATCTTTCTACGTACTTGTACGCTACGCTGCGTACACGTTCGTGGGCAACCGCGCTCTTATTCTGTATCACGAACGATAGGCACCACGAACGATTCGTCTGCAGAGGAATGCTTCAAAAATTAGTCCGGCGGCATCATTTTAGTCGGTTTAAACGCAACCGAGACCATTGCAACGTAATGTATGAAAAGCAAGACGAAGACGACCGATAGAGTTTAAAATCGCAATCTGAGAGGTTGTCGTCTGCAGACGAATCGTTCGTTTTGCCTATCGTTCGTGATACAGAATAAGGCCCTAAGTCTCGGGTTTTTCTCTCTATCACGTACGCTTAGCTTTAGACTTTTTTAAACGGCCTCAAGACTGTGTGAACAGCTGTAATACTCATTCGAACCACCTGGGGGCCCCAATAGCGTAACGCTGTGGTGGGTTCCGGGACATGAAGGGTTCTAAGGCAACGAAAGGACTGACTATCTCGCAAAGCGTTGAGCGGAGATGCACTGGCATGGTCACGAGCCTTTCTGCGGTACATCCAAAGGACACCCTGAAGAATTACTTGGGAGCTCCGAAGAATCTCAGATTTCTGCCCTCTGGCGGAAGAGGGAATTAGGCAATCAAGAGATCGCCGAAAGACTCTTTGAACCTACCTACCTACTGGCTAACTGACAGGACACTGCAAGTTGAGGTATCATTTGACTAAATGGGGCTTTCTCTAGAGACGGAATGCAGGTTTTGTTGGCTGGTGGAAGAAACCCCAGAGCATATTCTACATGGCTGCTCACGTATTACGAACTTTGTCTTCTCCATCCAAAAATTAGAACATGGTAGTCTCCGAAGTGCTTAACTTCCGAAATAACCTAAGGTTGGGGTGATTACAATTAGGGTTTAGCACAATAGTAGATCTTCATAGGTCGATGTGCGAGTATTCCCGACATGTTAGCGGCCTTTGAAGTCGCTTTCAATGAAGTTGGCCAGCTGACTTCTTTCGTTAAACTTTTGATTCAACTAATCGCCTGTGAAAGTTGAATCATGTATGAAGTGGATTGTGGCAGAAGGGCACCTCTCTGCAAATTGAAATTTTATTCTCCCGAAATATTGCCTCTTCTTTTTAGTTAAGATCAGGTTATCAGTCTGCCACCGAGTATTCCTATTCCTATAAATATTTTTCAATCGCAAACAAAAAAACAATGAAAATTATTTCGAAATCTACCAGGTGTACGATGCCAATCCACGCGAAAAAGTGTACCTTAAAAAAAGCAGCAAACTTATTGTTTCCATTTATTTTAGTAAAAAAAGCATTTTGTAATAAAAAAATATCCAACATCCATATAAATTGTTTTCCTACATTTCTTCACTAGGAGGCAAAATGTGATTTCAAGCGCATATTGGCCGAGAGTGAGGTGCGCATCAAACAGGCTGCACACAAATTGGGTAACTCAATTGAGGCGGCCAAGCCCTATTACGAGTCGCGTATCTATGCAGCGCAAGTGAGTACCGTTGAAATGTCTTCTTTTCATTTCTATTGTAATCATATTTTCATATTTTCTGAAATATAACTTTATTTAAATATGTAACACCTGGAAAATGTGTGCGATTTTTTTTAGTTGGCCAAGGAAACACAGCAAGCGGCGGTAAATTACGAAAAAGCTAAATCGATACACACCGCTGCCAAGGAAATGGTATATTTGGCGGAACAGGGTTTGGGTGAAAAGGCAACACTGGATACCGCCTGCCAAGAAATGCTCAGTCACGCCACCAGTAAGAACAACAACAAAACACATATTGCAAATTCCATGAAGCATGTAATGCTATTTTCGTTCCTTTTTACTATTTCCCTGCGCAGCCAGGGTGAATCAATCTCAGGTGGATGTAACGGATGCACGAAATACTTTGAAAATGTGTCAACTGAAGTTGGAAGTGGCCAACAATCGAGTGGGCAAATTACAAGGACAACTTAAGCAGGCTATACGTGCGTCGAGGTGAGTTTTTAATCGCACAATTTTAGCCGCACTGTAAATCATTGTATGATATTATGCACCCGAAGACTCATGCACGCATATGCAGGACATATACGAGGGGAGGTTAAAAAGTTTTGAGCCTATGGTATTAAAATATCTAATAGAAATGTTCAAGCATTTTATTTTTCTATACACGGTGTCCTATACCCCCTCCACCCTCTCTAAAACAAAGGGAAATAATTTAATTGAAAAACGCAAAATAAGACCTACCAAGTCGGAGATGCTCTATCTTTGGGGGTATTACCGACCTTCAAACTTTAACTCATCCTGGACTTCTGAAATGAATGCAAATGGTTTTATTGGAAAACGAAAATATATGAACTATCAAGTCGGGAATGCTCTATCTTTTCGTCATTGAAATGGAAAGAGAAGAATTTGGCTTCACTTGGCATTTCCAATTTGCGTCAGTTGGCACAGAAGAAGCGTCCTTTGTTGAACTCAGCCAAAAGCGCTTATTCGGTTACAATGCCAAAGAAAAATTAGAAGATTAGCGACTTCCGGTTTCAACCGGAAGTCCATTGTTTCAATCGTATGTCCATTCCAAATGGAAAATTTGTGGTAACAACATTGATGTCTATTTTAAAAAAATGGACATCCGGTCAGTTAAACCCACTTCCGGTCGCAACCGGAAGTCGCTAATCTTCTTCTTCTGTATAACAGTTGATTCATGCAGGAGTTGCTCGCCACGATACTTGAATAGCTCAGCTGGCAGGCTATCAGCTCCAGCAGCTGTGTTGTTTTACAGAAGCGTTATTGCTATTCGTACCTCGTCATAGTCGGGCAGAGGAACAACGACTCCGTTATCATCGTTTGGGGGCTCAGATCCCAGCGTGGCCCTGTAGACGGCATCTTTTTTCTCTGCAGTTTCCTGACACTTCTCATCGTACCGTTTGGCCGTTTGTTGTGATTGCAGCTTTTCGACGTTAAGCTTTCCTTGCATATTTGGGCGCACATTTTTTGCTGCACGGAGGCGGATGCGTATCTTGGCTGCAACAAGATAGTGGTCCGTGTCGATGTTTGTGCCTCGGAGTATATGTACGTCTAAAACACTGGAAGCATGCATTCCGTCTATCACTACATGATCGATTTAGTTTTGTCGTTTTTGATCCATAGATAGCCACGTAGTTTGATGAAGTCGCTAATACCCAAAAATACACAGAGCAACCCCGATTTGGTAGGTCATATTTTTAATTTTTTCAATAATTTCCCTGCATTTTAGAGTGGCTGGACGGGTAGTCTAGGATACCCTGTATAATCTCCATCTAATTCAATGCACTTTTTACATTTATCATAACCTAATACCGCCCTGATTTCTTCTTGACTCGAAAATCTTCGTCCGCAGAGTTTTTTTCCCCCTGGGGGCCAGTTTTAAACTGTATGCATCTCGCGTAGTTNCTCTAATTCAATGCACTTTTTACATTTATCATAACCTAATACCGCCCTGATTTCTTCTTGACTCGAAAATCTTCGTCCGCAGAGTTTTTTTTCCCCCTGGGGGCCAGTTTTAAACTGTATGCATCTCGCGTAGTTTCTCGACAACAACCTGACGCACTTTTGTCAACAATGTGGCATAATAGTCTCCGTCCATTGTAGTTCTTTTATTTTAGACTAGCTGTACCCTGCCATGCTTTGCTGTGGCATATTCCTGTTATATAGATGATAAATTATTATATTTGTTGTTTTTCCATTGGCTGCATAGATATCAAGGATATCTGGTTTGCTGACACAGGAACACGCAACATCCAAAGTTCGACCTGGAGCATTATTGATTGTGTTTCCGAATGTCAATCGAATTGGGAGTTGCAATCTTTTAAATTGAAATGGTGTATCGGTCGGAATCATGGGAATTCTTCACCTTTGAAAGGCTACGTTAAAATCTTTACACTACTTTCTTCATCAATTTCTTAAGTGCGAGTCGCATGCCGTTGCAAAGATTTGGCTGATTAATATTCCGCAACATGATAGTTGGCACACCTATTTTCAATTTCAGTATGTGGGGTCTCCCTGGAAGATCAATCGAGTTCAAAAATTTCGTTGGATGGTCTTTTTCCATAACGGTGTTTATCGACGTATATGCTATTTCCTCACGTTGAATGCTGGATTGAATAACATTAGTGGTATTCACCAAAGTGAGCAAGTGGCCTGGCAGTCTGGTAAAAGAGCTGATCAGGTCAAGCAACGACTGTTTTCTATACCACTATTTTTTTTATTATTTAGTTGATAGACATCCTTATTCTTCGCAGCAAGAATAGCCCGTTAACTGAGCCAATCGTGACTCCTGTAATTAATTTTCTAATAAATAAACATTCTTTCGATCAGTTCTCCTTAATCGAGAAACTACAGACAATGTTTGCATAAAGTCTCCTGCGACCAGTATCAATGCATTTTCGAATGGTTGAACGTTTCCACGCAAATCTCGCAACAATTGATCAAGGAACTCAAGCGATTTTGTATGTGCCATGGTGCACTCATCCCAAACAATGAAATTAAATTTTTGTAATACTTTTTCTATACCGGTTGCTCTGGAAATATTTTACGTGGGAGTTTCGATGATTTATATGTTCAATGCCAGCTCACCTGGTAACAATGTCGCAGCAATTCCAGACGAAGCGATAGCTAAGGTAATGCAATTTTTTATGGAACCGTTGCCAGAATCCATCTGATAAGGAATAATTTCCTAGTACCTCCTGGCGAATCCAAGAAGAAGGTCCCCAACTCTGTCATCTATCATTTGCATATTATTCTTCTACTTTGGCTTTGTAACCACCTAAGCCATTTTGGCCGAGCTCGACAAAGAACGCCAGTCGAGTGGAGTTCTTTCACACCTGGAACTTCGGTTCCTATTGGAAAAACATGTATAAGCCAGCGGAGCAGCTGCATTTTCATTCCCTGCACTATGTACATTTCGTTGAAAATCTCATACAACTCATCGTTCCATCGTCTACGGTAATCCCCGTCGCCCACGCGCAGAAGCCTGTATATCTTCCGTAAGATCTTTCTCTCGAATACTCCAAGAGACGTCTCATCGAATGTTGTGGTTGTCTAAGCTTCTGTGCCGTATAACAGCTCGGGCATGATGAGTGACTTCTAGGCTGCGGTTTTTGTATGTGGAGAAAGGACTTTACTCCCGAATTGCCTACTCAGTCCAAAGTTGCACTTGTTGGCAACAGTGATTCTGCGTGGGTTTTCCATGCTGATATTTTTATCGGTGATAGTGCTGGTTCCCTAATGGATGGCAACTCTCCCAAAAAATATTTCCAACAGTTATCTTTCTTAAACCTCTTTAATTTGATACCAATATTGTAATATTTAATTTATTTTCTCAGCGTAATTTAGTTAAACTTTCAAACAGGTGGCAACCCTAATCACACATATTTTCGGCTAGAAGCCTTCTTAAAACTTCTTAATTTGATACCCACATTGCAATATTTCATTTACTTAATCAACTTAACTGAGTTAAAACTTTAAATTAGGTGGCAACCCTCCTCAAAAATATTTCCATCAGTCATTTTTCTCAAACCTCTTTAATTTGATACCCATATTGTAATAATTAACTTATTTTGTCAATATAATTGGGTTTAAAAATTTTCAAATAGGTGGCAACCCTCCAATTTATGCGATATCATTGGTTCTGGTATTATACCGAACAATACAAAAAATAAATTGTTCAAATCGGTTCAGCCGTTCTCGAGTTTTGACGACCGTGACATACGAACACAACATTTTTATTAATATACATAGATAGTTGATGAACAGAATGCCTTCACAATGCCAAATCACAGTGGTAACGGAAGTTTTTTGATGCCTTGAGCTGGGATCATCTTCCAGCGACTCACTGCCATGCTTGAATTCTTGGCTCCAATGTTTCCAGACTCCCCATGTACTGTAGACATCCCTTCAAATAGAATTAGATTGATTTTACATTAGAATTCTAATGTAGTTTTCGAATCTAAAATCAGGGCTCGAATCGTAACAGTCGTAGACGAGCAGCTCGTTACGTAAAAATGCATATTGTAGTGGAGAGACGAGCAATGATTAGAAACACACTTGACATTAGAAGCCTATAAGAATTCAACGTTAGAATACAATTAGATATCTAACCTTTTTCTCGATATCGAGAACTAAGTCCCCTTTTTGTAGAGAATGCTATAGTTCTCGACAGTTTCTCCAATCGTTAGATAATACATTGGAATTCGCATCGCTTTCAATCGTTCTCTAACCTAAATATTTGTTGGGTTCTTTGAGAGGAATTTGATGACCGCTCTGTAGTGGAATTTCGTATGGCTCAATTTCTGAAGTTGTAATGATGTTAATGACATGATATTCGGTGTTTTTACTTAGGCACAAAAGTTTACAGCCTCCCCTCGTACAATCGTACACACATACATATTATTACGTTCTGGGATGGGCACATATAGTAAATTTTTCCTTACCGGCTTTTACCATAAGTATTTAGTTAGGCATAGAGTTTTAATTGAACGGAGTTGAAACGATAGACAATTGATTATAAACATGTATTTTTATGTGACCCAACAACAGGCCGACTCCTTCAAGTCGATATACGTTCGTCAAGCGCTTGTTGTACATTGTTGAGCACCGATGCGAGATACTCTACTTACGCACGACTCGATGACTTCCTTTCAGTTCGTACTACATGCTTCGAAGCAGAGAATTGTTGAGTTGGTTTCTGCGGTGTTAACGTTGCGATAATGTTCTTGCCCCACAAAAATCCGTTCGGATAACATAGCAGCTATTCGCCATATATGGACCTGTGTTCTGGCAAGTTTTTAAACTTTTGCACTGGGTATCGGATGGTCTTGGCGACTTAACTACCGGCCGGCCGATTGATTTCTATGTAGTTGGAAAAGTTTCTCAGTCTACTGTGCCGAGTTACGACTTAAGGACCCTTCTTTGGCTATCAGACATGACCACCAGAATATCTTTTAGTTTAAATACGATCCAGGTGGGGTGAAGTATGTTGCAGCGGAAGTTCAAAAATGCCTAGTGAAGAGGTTGGCAAGGTTAGCGATATATGTATATAGAAAACTTATAGCAAAGGCCGCCATAATACAATCGTAAGTTCACTTCGGCTGCTAGCAGAGTTAGGTTGGTCATAAACAGATTTAACAGGTTTGGTCTTGGGCGGGTTCAGTGTTTGACTGAAGTATGCCTTGATCTCGTCCGTGGATTTATAGTGATGTCTGCTTACTTGCCTCGGATGGGAGAAGGCTTTGCTTCCAACAACTGTCTGTTCAGATGCTCCCTGATCATAAATTGCTTGTTGAGCATTCAATTGTGATCACCACAGGGCGTTCAAACGTCATCAGAAGGTCTCCAGTTGCGATGTTCTGACAGGTCTATTGCTTCGTTCACTGCCTCGTTCTGGTCCGCGGTGACCAAACAGGCATAATTTAGAACCGGCCTTATGTATGTTGCCAATGTTTGTTTTTTTGCACAAAGGCTACCAACAAGCGACCTTGTTGCGGCTCTGTACTTTGTTGCCAATTGCGGTTGCATAATCGGAGAATGAAAGAAATCTATCCGCAATAACTCTTTGGGGAATTTGTATGATGTTACAACAAAAAAAAATCGGCCGGCCACTATATCTTACAAATCGTGCGCGTTGGATATCCAGGAGGTTTAACAATAACGGGGATAGAGAACCACTCTGTAGAGCCCCTTGTTTAATAATTCTAGACTGGTCCGATTACTCAACGTTTGACCGTATCCGCCGAAGGATGCAGTTTAAATTGGCGACTAAAATAGCTCGCGATTCGCTTAGGCGCGATCACAGAATGAAATTTCACTCTGCCATGATGCTTCTTGCCCGCTGTGTGCATTGCTACCTGGTGGTGGTTGGCTGCGTCTATGAATGATTCAACAGAGCTCTGCATCACGAGATAGTAGAGTAGTTCCCTCAATGATATCACACGAAGAACTGTTTGAATTTTTGAAATGTATGAAAAACAAAATCTTTTGATAATGAAGCTGCAACTCTTTATTGGACCTCGGTTAACCGTATGGTACGTCATGGGTTAAGCTATTGTTTATTTGGAGTTGAAGAGCACTCACTACTTTGTTGGTACTGTGATAAGCGTAATTTGTTGAAGCTTAAATTGATTAAAGTGATTAAGTGTTACTTTGTTTCCTTCCTTTTTATTTCACTAAGTACTCACCTTTCACCGCTAGCTTGGTTTTTACTTAAATTTTTTTGTATAATTTATTTTTCAGTATTTTAATTTTTAACTTTTAGTTTAAGCATTAGACGAGACTTACTTGAATTGAATTCTTTGGTTTATCAGCACCGTTGCAATATTCTGTAAGTATTTCACGAGCTCGGCACGCGTAACAATGACCACTTATTTCTTCCAAATTTAACCATTTACTATTTTTGATTTTCAATAAATTTTTGTAAAATTTAAATTTCCTATTTAACATTCACTTCTAATTTTGCTAAAATGCGCATATTCACAGGCCCTTCTACGAGGCGCGAGCTAACTACAATGGCCTCTTAAAAGCACAAAAGCAAAAAATTAATGAACTAGAAAGCAAAGTCACCGAAGCCAAGATGACTTACAATGAGGCGCTGAAAAACCTCGAGCAGATCTCTGAAGATATACACCGCCAGCGGCAGGAAAAACGTGAGCTGCTCAACGACACGCTCTTGGCAGAGCTACGCATTGCAAGCAATGCCGCAGCAGCAGTGCAAAATTATCAACACTTTCCGTGCGATATTGACGCACCAGACGAGTATTTGCAATTGCCCGCGAAACTTAGCACACAGTCCAGTCCACTGCGACAACGCCGCTTCGACGAGCATGAGTGCCCACATTTGCTACAGGACTTTCCTACGCTCAACCTGAGAGATGTAAGTGGACAGTTCATTGCTACACTTTTTTTTTTTTTATATATATTTGCGTGATTAATAATTGCTTGTTTTCTTTGTGGCAAAGAAACATCCAGGTGGCAGCATGCACAAGTCGGCGAGTACGAGCGCTAGCGGCGACGGTCTCTTCGGGCACACCCCCCTACATGGACCGTACGAAGTGAAGACGAGTGGCAATAGTAGCGTCGGTGGCGGTGGCAGCGGTAGCGCACACGATGCCAGCTCAAGCACCGGCGCCGATGCAGATGAGCAGGATGACATCGAGCAGTGGACTGAGATACGCTTATCGCACTCGGAGAGCACAAGTTCTAGTTACTCAAATCAGTCGCTGCTACACGATCAGCTAGGTGGCGCCGCTGAAGATGCACAATCGCATCACTCCTCGTCATCCTCATCGGACGAGCCGAAGCGCAAAGTCACTTGCACGACGATCTTCCATGAAGATCAGCTCAACAAGAAACAGAGCCTGAGCCAGTGGTTGTCGCGTTCGAACAGCCTGAAAATGTCTGGACGACGTCAAAGTCTGGATCTCCTAATCGATGCAGGTGACAAGGTGAAAGATGTATTTAGTTTCGGTTTCCAGAAGGTGGGGAAAACACTGGAGCGACGTAATAGCGAATCGGAGATGAATGCAGAGAACGCGGAGAGTGGAGGCAGTGCGGCGGCGGGTGCAACGAGCGTTGCCGGTGGTAAAACAACATCGGCTGGTGATTTTTTCCTCTTCTCCAGGTCAGTAGGCAGTGGCGTTGCCAGTAACAGCACTGTTAGTAAAGCTTTGCAAAAAAAGACTGGACTGCTGAGCACACTGCAGAATCGCTTCACCCAATTGATTTAAATGCTAAAAGAATTTATCATTAAAGAGCTAAAAAATCAAGAAAAACTAGTGCTTGCCATTTTAGAAGGAAATATTTGAAAAATTACTGCGGCCAAAATTTGTTTTTCGATATACCGTTATATTAATGTGTAACAAGCATTTATGTACCAGACGAATTTGTGCATGCGTAACGGCATTTGTTTACAAATTTACAAACATACTTATGTATTGTAGAAACATTTTCAAATGCATTTAGTGGAATTTGGGAAATTGCTTGTATTTTTAAGCGAATCTAAAAATCTTTGCAACTTAAAAAAGTTGTTAGCAAATTTGAAAGCAATATCTGACAATACTGAATCGCAAAAGGTAGAATGTTGAAATTGGCAAGTTTTTATACATATAACAACGGTGGGCAAACGCGGCTCTTTGAGCCAAATGCGGCCCTTTGCTTTCTCTTTGCTTAGAACATTTTGGCTCGTTTTACTTTTTAAAATACATATTTCTTTGTTGGACATTCTTTTCCATTGTGTTGTTTTTTTATTCTTTATACAATTTGAGCCCAGCTTTTTCAGCCGACTAGCTTTCAAATGTTTGGAATTAATTGAAGAAGAGAANTATTAAGTGCCGCCACCGAAGAAGTAGTCGGATTTCAGCGAGCTCGAAAGAACAACTGGTGGCCGCCTATAGGGCCACACTGCGCCCTAGGCATCTGCTTTATAGGCATCTGAAGAGGGAAGCGAGACGTATTTGCCGGAATACGAAGAGAGAGGCCGAAATACGTGGCCGACAGGAAGAATGCCCGAAAATTTTACCAGAGAGCTAGGCGACTTACGGAAAATTTCAAAACCAGGCCGTACTCCTGTAAGGACAACAATGGCGACCTAGTTACCGATGTTCAGAACGTACTTAAATTATGGAGGGAACACTTTTCTACGCTACTAAATGGTAGCAGCATGAAAGTTGTGGAGAAGAAGAACCCGAGCCCGCAGTCGATGATGACAGAG